TTTTTTTTTTATGAAAATAAATACGAGTTAAAGATAAGCATTTCATTCTTCTTGGTAAATTGGTAAATTTTGTAAATAGTATTTTGTAAAGTAATTTTCCAATATTATGCATGCATCTGTAAATGTTTATTACAGAATTTACTATACGTTAATGTACAATCAAATCTAATCTTTCACAATTTTCAAACTGATTTCTGACGTTGCTCAAATCACGAACGTCATAAATAACATACTGTTAAGTGCCCAATTAACAGATCGCGCAACAACTTTTATTTTTCATTGTCACGTGAGCACGTGAAGTTTGAAATCAAGAGTCTGTAATCCACGGATGAATGCGTTTCGTGACTTGGCGAAGAAAAATTTATATGCAATGGAACATAAATTTACACGCATCATAGAACAGTTGTTGCAATCGTTGTTACACTGGCTACTTATTACGGTTCAAATGGTCTCTCTTTAGAAATATATCGTTCTTTTATTACATATTGACAAAAATTAAATTACATCGTCTTGTTACAATTTAACAGTTTCTTATCGTGCAACCAAGTTTCATTTCTAATCTGCGTATTAAATTTTGCGTATTAAAATCAATGCGTGAAATATATAATAATTGTGATATTTTTACAATATATATATATATATATATATATAATGTATTATAAAAATTATTTTATAATTATTAAGTTATACTATACCGTGTTGGCCAAATAAAATAATACGAATTATTTGTCGATTTTGCTTTCCTCTTTAATTGAAGATATTTTCTTCAATTAATCTAGGATAATTGTTGAAGAAACAAAAGAGTCTCATGCTTCACTTTCTTCAGATGAAAAGATGTATTAATAATTTTTATTCACATACACACAGAATTTATTTGACATTCTTCGTGAGTAAATAATTATATTAAAGTACACGATTCTCATTGCAATAACTGCGCTTACACAGAGAGAAATTAAATTCAAAATCATTTTGCTAATGAAAGAAACTAACAACATGTAAAACTAATGAAATCAAGGAACTTCTGAACAGAAATAGATTAATATATTTTGTTACAGAATACTAATTCGTCTCGTAAATTTACTCGAAATAAGGTCGAAGAGATTGAAATACAAAAAAGAAAAAAGAAAATGGCAAAAAGTTCATTCAAATCTCTGTAAACTTGTAAAATTGTTAATACTAAAATTGAAGTAAATTATAGATCTGTGAAATTGAAATAAAACTCTAAATCTATTTAATCGTGGATCCATTAAATTTCTTAGTAATTCGGGTCATTCTGGTGGTTTCACTATTAAAATCCAATCTGTAACTCCTTACTGCGAATGGCAAGTGTCGCTGTGCGATCCACAGACGGTAGGAAAAACTTGAAACAGCTAATTATGATACAATAGTAATATAATTCTCACACGAGCGAGCACAATGAAATAGAAACGCGACCCGTTTCACAGCCCGTTTCGGATCGCTGGCAATCGAAATTTATACGAACAAGCGGAATTTCGTGTATCAAAATCAAACCGAAATCAGACTGTCGTTCCTCGCGTCGGATAGTTTACGATGTCGTCAAACCAAAGGCTTCGTAGTTCGTAGTCGACCTTCGATCCTACGTTACGAGAGAAATTCAACTGGTGTAAGAGGTATATACACTCGGTTACGGCGTGCAGAGTACGCTTCCGGTTCAGCCTTACGTACACACGTAGTACTTTGAGTAACGTAAGCTGCAACCTTCTCTTCCCGTTGCATGTGCTTGTGCAAGCTACAATTGCATACATTATCTCTTAATTAAGAAAACGCGCGGATGTAGTATAAATGTTCCAGAAATACCCCGTAGACGTTGCCATAGTCTGGCAAGTACTTACATGTTCCAAGGTCTCACATGATATAATCTCTGACGGAATTCCTGATGTATGAGGATTACGTGAATTTCTCTTCCACGTGTGGAAGTTGGAGCAGTATATAGTAGAAACAACGATATATGTCAATCTAATTTGCGCTCAACTACGTGAAATTATTCGAAGAATAATGAGAAATTGTTCGAAGAAAAAAACTATTGTATATTGTAAAAAAATATATATATATAT